GTGTGTGTGTGTGTGTGTGTGTGTGTGTGTGTGTGTGTGTGATAATAATTAAAGAAAAAAGAAAATGAAATTGAGAGGGAGATGGGGCTACATGGGAGCGATTAGAGGGAAGAAAGAGAATATGGAAATTATGTAATTATATTTTGCTGTGGGATGGTCTTTCTGTAGGCTGTGACTATGTGCTGCTACCATTGGTTAATAAAGAAGCTATTCTGGCCTATGGCCAGGCAGAATAGAGCCAGGCCGGAAATCCAAGCAGAGAGACAGGGAGAAGAAAGGCAGTGTGGGGAGACACCATCCAGTTGCCCAATGAGCAACATGCCAGCAGACCGGTAATGCCATGGCCACATGGCAATACATAGATTAATAGAAATGGGTTAATTTAAGAAGAAAGAGCTAGTTAATAATAAGCCTGAGCCATAGACAAAAGAGTTTGTAATTAATACTAAGCCACTGAGTGATTATTTTATAAAAATGGCTGCTGCCCGGGTGAACCAGGTAGGACCGGGTGGGATGAAGAAATTTCTTTTTTTTTTTATTTCTTTTTTTTAAACATGAAGTTGTCTAATTAGGTTGTTAGCAATTTAGAAAACCAGTTTGTGAGGATACATCCCATTCGTCAGAGAGAACTGAGATCGCAGGTAGCCCTGGAGCTGAGGAACAGCTTTGATCTTTGGCAAAATCTGCAAGTCCACAGCTTTCTGATCAGTCTTTCGCTGCTCTGTAATCTCGTATTTCTCCTTCTCAGTGTCAAAGATCTCCCCCTCCTGGTGCCTGGGCTTGCGCAGCTGCTTCTTTTTGAACTAAGCATCAGTCAGGTGTTTGGGGATTTTAACCTTGCTGATGTCAACTTTTGTAGAGGTGGCGATGACAACTTTCTGGTGTGTTCTTCGCAGAGGAACTCTGTTGAGGGCAAGAGGTCCAGTCACAAGTAGCAAGCCACTGGCCAGCTGCTTCAGGAAAACCACTCTCTTGCCCCTGTGGCACCTTGTGAGGATGATCAGGACGGTCCCAGGAGTGATGCTGGCCCAAAGCCTTCTCACGTGCTGACTGAAGGGCTTTTTGCCATGGCTCAGCAGCTTCCGAGGCACATTTTCGGGAGGATAATACCTGGGCATTTTTCAAAGCTTCACCACCTGGGTACTGCCGTTCTTGTCACCACCAACCGGTTTTGTGACAGTAGCAAGGACCTTCTCCTTTTTCTTCTTCTTTTCAACCTTGGTTTTGGCCGCTGAGTACTTCCTTTTGTACAAGGCCTTTCTGGAATACATAGCAGATCGGGAGTACCTGCCGATCCCTCTAACCAGGAAAGGGTTCCGGCTGCAGTAGGGGCTTCCCCTTCTTGGTCTTTTTAACCTTAGGGTCACCCTTTTTTCACCCTTTTTGGCGGCACCGGCACCAGCACCAGCGGCAGGGGCATCACCGCCAGCCTTCTTGGCCGCAGGTTTCTTCTCTTTTGTGTCAGGCTTTTTGCCCTTTTCACCTGCCATCTTGCAAGATGGGAAAGAGTGGGATGAAGAAATTTCAATCTACAATATTTTTATTTCAAAAACAAGAAATTTAAAAATAAATAAAATAATTTTGATTATATACCTATAAACTTTCATAACAAAAAGAAGTCACAAGTAAGTATAATTTGATTTTGCCCATTTCAAGGGATTCCACAACTCTGGTGAGTACTTTATAGTGTACTTGGAAGTTACTTTGATTCAAATTTAAGCCCTCAGTTCTAGTAAGCTGTTCATAAGAATACACATCTTTTTTTGATTCCTAGTTCGTTAACTGTTTTCCTATCACATTTCTGGTAACTTAGAGATCCCAGAGCAAAGCTGATACCTTTACTTAACTAGAAGTGAGCCAATTATGCTCATTCTTCTCTAGGGTCAGCTCAATCTGAGCTACAGTACAGAGTCTGAGTAGCAGAGCTGTGAAGGAGAAGCAAGCATAAAATGTAAGGCTGGCCGTGTGATAGTGGGTTGCCTAGCAACGCTGGCTGGGAGGCTTTCCTTCCAGAGCTTCTTAACAGAGCAGCAGAAAGACATGAAGAGGAGGGGGGAAGGGAGAAACAGAAAGGGAGACAGAGTAAACTATGGAGTCAGACAAAGGCAAGCAAAGAGTAAGGTTCATAAGCAAGAAAAGAAGAAATAATGGGAACAAATATAAAAAGGAGATCAGGCAGCGAGATGAGCTCAGTTGAAGGAAAAATGAAGAGAAGCAAAGGCTGAACGGAGAGCCATTCAGAGAAGAGAGAATGGTTGATGGAGGAAGGGAGTTGATAGCAGGAGTGGCCTCTCCTCCATGACCCCCTCACTGATGGCTGCTACCCAAAGAAGTAGCCCAATTTCATCTCATAATTGTCATTTTGTCTCATATATCAAATCATCAGTGGTAGCAGCACAACCAGGAATTCTTTATTGAGCAATACTGGGTTCACAGCACTGCCTATCCCAGCAAAGATCCTCTTATATAATAATCACAGTGATGACTCAGACCTGGAGCACAGCTCTTTACAGCTGATATCTCTTGAGGCCCTTACTGCAGCTCTGTGAGAGGTAGGTAATGCAGGAATCAGCATGACTTTAATTCTACACATGAAGAAACTGAGGCTTTGAGAACAGGAGTGGTGCACAGGAGACCTCTTGGTGAGGTGAGGTCCAGTGTTTATACCTGGGGCTCTGGGGCACATCACACAGGGCTGTGGCTCGAGTGCCTGGACTTGACGGTGGCACACTTAAGTGTGGTGGACCTGCAGACAAGAAACACAGGCTCAGCCACCTACTGAGGTGGAGGCTGAAGAGCTATTACAAAGTCTCAAGCCAGAAGGAGGAATCTTCTCTCATCTTATTCCCCCCATAATGTGCAAATGTGTGCATCTGTGCCTCCCTGAGCAGAGTCTAATTGACCCAGGTGTACAGTCAGCTTCTAGAAACTTCATGAGATATTGCTGGCACCCATCATAAGGAAAACCTTACCTCTCTAATTTCAGAACAATCATTGGTGCTTGAAAAAGACCTCTTTGACAGGATAAAGGATATTCAAGAGGTGGGAACAATTTGTTTTGAGGACCATAGGGGCTGCAGGATCAGGCAGAGAAGAGTTGAAAGCTGAGTACAAGGGAACAGGTGAGTGGTTCCTCTTCCTTCTCATGTGTCTCCAGTGCATGAAGGGTGGGATGAAGTAGAAATGAGCTCAAGTCCTCTGTGTAGCACCAATCTTCTCTCCTGCTAGTATCCCTCCATCCCTCTGTCTGGCCCACCCTGTATTTGCTGACAGAATAAATTCCCCAAAATGCAGTTCACCAGCTCAGCACCTCTAAATGATTTCTCTGTTCATTATAAGATTTGTCTTATCTCCCTGGCATGAAAGAGTCACCCAATGTTGCAAACTTCACTTTTCAGCTTAATATCTGCACATATATTAGTTTAAGCCCAGGCATCCAACAAACTGAGCTGCTTTATGACTCTCAAACACACTTCATTCCCATTTATGTCTTTTCTCTAGATATACCATCTCTCCTAATTTCCAATCAAAGGATATTCTCCACCCAGTTGTCCACAGAGCATTTGGTCAACATAGCTAAACTATTACATTTCCCAAATTTCCCTTTCTCTTATGTCATCTTAAGCCACATGAGCGATGCTTGTGGAAGATTTAGAAGTCAAGAAAAAAGTATCGACCAATGTTACCTATCTGTTAACTCAACATTTGCCACTACCTACCCTACAGACATATGCTTCTAACATTATTTCTCTAATTATTTGGTTTCTTTATACATACATGTGTGTGTGTGTGTGTGTATCTTTCACCTTTTAAAGTGTATCACCAGCATAAAGAATATTTTCCAGATACCCAGACCCTAAGATTGTGTCAAGTCCTAACATCCAGCATAGCAAAATGAATGATTTTATGTGGAATTTCCCTAAACTCTGGAAGAGTGAAAGTCTTGGGCTGAAAGGAGGTGGTCTGGACTCTAACTGCAACTCTGTGGCTAGGGAGCTGGAGGAATTGGACCAAGAAGCATCCTTTTTCTGAGACCTTGAGAAGGAAAGAAGATGTTTCTAAGGGAATGGGAGGTAGGAAGAGAGAGAGTAGTAGAATATATGTGACATGAAAGCAAAATGAGGGAAAGTACCTATGGAGGAGGGGAGTTGGAGAAGAGGGATGAAGATCAACAGTTTCCTCTTCTGTTCTTTGTTTGTTTTTTAGTTTAGTATACAAATGAATGGGTTTCACTGGGGGCACTTTCACACCTGAATTCATTATATTTTGTGTTTCTTAAACTCTCTTCCCCAACTGCTAGAAAATTTCTATTTTCACTCTTAGAAATTATGTTCTCAGTGAGAATTTCAATACTTCCTCATGCATCTTCTAGGGAAAGGTTGATTTCTCTACACAGTCCACTCTAAGATGTTCTCTAGGACCATGACTCAATCTTTTCAAGGGACTTGGTTGAAAAATTGCCTTTCATTCCTTGGTCCTTAGAGTAAGTAGAACTGGGAGAATAAAAGGGAGGTGAGGTAGTGGAATGATCAAAAGCAGAATTTCATGGGAGTCAAGAATCACATGACAATACTAAAGTTAGACATGAAGAATCACTTTTCTCTAAGCTACCTATTTTCAGATGTTTACAACTTCAAAGAATAAAAATAAACACATATTTTAAAAATCTAAGAGGTCAGAATTCTCAGACAATGGAGTTTTGTTAAGCATGCACATACCATTCTTGTACAGAAGATATAGTCCAATGCTATGATTCAAAAATCTTACAGTGAGATTGGTGTTTCAGTGTGAAACTTAACTTTTTAAATCTAAGAAATGCATCATGTTTGTTTATTTATAAGATAATATGGAGCCACTGAACTCATTTCTAAACTTTTAAGCTAAAATTCCTGCTGGAGACTCATATGCTGGAAGTTTGGTTGCCAGCTGATCTAGCTTTTGGAAAGAAATTGAGTCATGAATCCTCTAACTTCATCAATGATTTAACTCACTAATGGATTTATAGCTGTTGTTGGTTGTTTTTTTTTTTTTACTCTTTACTCTTTTGGCTCTTTGCTCTTTTGGGTGGCCCACCACCCAGCTCCCAAATAAATCACACATGGGAGGCTTATTCTTAATTATAAATGCCCTGCCTTAGCTTGGCTTGCTTCTTTCCAGCTTTTATCCCATCTACCTTTTGCATCTGAGTTTTTACCTTTCTCACCTAATAAAGTGTATCATCAGCATAAAGAATATTTTCCAGATACCCAGACCCTAAGATTGTGTCAAGTCATAACATCCAGAATAGCAAGATGAATGATTTTATGTGGAATTTCCCTAAACTCTGGAAGAGTGAAAGTCTTTTCTTTCCTTCTTATTCTGTATCTGGTTGTGTGCCTGGGTGGTTGGCCCCTGGAGACCTCCTCTCCTCCTTTTTACATTCCTTGATCTTTTCTTCTCTTTTTCTCCTTCTATTTGTTCTCTCTGCCTGACAGCCCCACCTATCCTTTCTCCTGCCTTGCTATTGGCCTTTCAACTCTTTATTAGACCATCAGGTGTTTTAAACAGGCATAGTAGCACAGCTTACAGAGTTAAACAAATGCAACATAAAAGAATGCAATACATCTTTGCATCATTAAACAAATGTTCCATAGCATAAACAAATATAACACACCTTAAAATAATATTCCACAACACATAATATAATAGTATTATGAAGTGATATAAATATTAAGAAGTAGAGCCTGATTGAGGTAAGTCACTGTTGGTATGCCTTTAAAGGGTTTACCTTGTTTTTGGATGCTTCCTGCCTCATCTCTGCTTCCTATCCATGATGAGGTGAGTAACTTCTTCATCCACATGTTCACACTGTATTCTTTATCCTCACTTTTGGCCAAAGTAATGGAGTCAATCAACAATGTGCTGAAACTATGAACCAAAATATCCTCTGTCCTTTAATATGTTTTCTCAGTTATTACACCACAGCAACCAAAACTTAATGAACAGAAGAATCTATGTATAAAATGAGTTTCAAACCATTATCTTATCCACTCAAGAGGCACATACAAATTGGTTCCTCTCTTGTCCTCATCCAACAGCCTTAACTTATTGATTTTTTATTTTATAATTTAATTTAATTTTATATATCAACCGCGGATTCCCCTGTCCTCCCTCCTCCCTGCCCACTAGTCTCACAACCTAAACTTAAATTTGACCATTGTATTACAAGTTCTATAATACAGAAAAAACATATAGAGGATTAGAAACACCAGAACATTACTGAATCTCCTTGAATCTGAAACATGGCTACAGAGAGAGGCAGATGGCACAGAAAGTCACAGGTGTATAACAGATAAAATGCACAATTAGTGAAATTTAGATTTCTAAAAGAAATAAAGTAGCCTAATACTGGGTACTATGCAATACAGTAGGGAAAGAAGGAAATCCCCCTCAGTAGAATTGGCAGTAAGGTAGAAAGGGAAGCCTCAGGGAACATCAGGGATGTAGATTCTGTCAGTCTGTAAAATTACAGTTTAAGGTGAGAGATGTGCTGTCAGCACTCCCAAGTAAACTGTAAATTGAGATGCCTAGGAAAGGTGAAGTATTCCATCCTCCATTGTCTCAGCAAGGACAAAATATTGACTGGTCTTCTTTGCATACTGTTTTCTTTTTAGTTCCTATACTATTGTCTTTCATTCCTTCATCCTTTATCTTTTATTTCTCCTATCTTCAAAGACATATCTACCTAACAGATGCACAAAAAAGAGTGGAGAAACTCAGAAACATGACAAAATAAGGCAATATGATTCCTTTAAAAGTGTTTAATGCTTCAATAGCAAAATCAAATCATATGAAAATAGGGGCTGGGGAGATGGCACTGTGGGTAAAGTGTTTGCTTCACACATCTGAGGACCTGAGTTTGGATATCCAGAATACAAATAAAAGCTGGGCATGGAAGTAGGTACCTGTAACTCCAGCACTGGCAAGCAGAGACAAGAGGACCCTGGAGACTTGAAATGCCAGACAAAAATTTCAAAAGCCAAATTTTAAAAAATTATATTAAAGTGGATAAACAAATGAATAAAGTGAAGCAAAAAAACAAGACTTCAATAAGAAATTCATCAAAGAGCTAGAGACTGAAAATTTGAAGTCTTGGAAATTAAAAACTCAATAAATCAAATTTAAAGTTTAAGTGATAATCACCAGTAAAATAGATGAGTCAGAAGAATAATATCATAGATTTAAGACACTGCCACAAACAAAACATAGGCAATTATATCTAACAGACATTATAAACCAAGTGGACCTAAAAGATATTGAAAGAACATTTCACCCAAACACAAAAGAACATGTCTTCTTCTCTGCACCTCATGGAACCTTCTCCAAAATTGACCACATACTGGGACACAAAGCAAGTCTCAACAGATACAAGAAAATTAAAATAACCCCCTGCATCCTATCAGACCACCATGGGTTAAAACTGGATTTCAGAAACAACAGAAAGCTTGCAAACTTATGGAAACTGAACAAATCTCTACTGAATAAAAACTGGGTCAAGACAGAAATAAAGAAATTAAAAACTTTCTAGAATTTGACCAGGCAGTAGTGGCACACACCTTAAATCCCAGCACTCAGGAGGCAGTGCTAGGCAGATCTCTGTGAGTTCAAGGTCAGCAAGTTCCAGGACAGGCACCAAAACTACATGGAGAAAGCCTGTCTCAAAAAAAAATCATTGAAAATAAATGCACAATATACTCCAAATTTATGGAACACAATTGCTGGGGATGTCTTTTTGTATGCTGTGAATATGTTGCTCTGATTGATAAATAGAACACTTATTGGCCAGTAGCCAGGCTGGAAGTATAGTATAGGCAGCATAGGAAGAGAGTCGAATTCTAGGAAGTGGAAGGCTGAGTCAGAAAACACTACCAGCCACTGCCATGAGAAGTAAGATGTAAAGTACCAGTAAGCCACAAGCCACCTGGCAAAGTATAGATTTAGAGAAATTGGTTAATTTAAGATATAAGTACTAGATAGCAAGAAGCCTGCCACAGCCATACAGTTTATAACTAATATAAGTCTCTGTGTGTTTACTTGGGTCTGAGTGGCTGCAGGAGCTGGGTGGACACAGAAAAACTCCAGG